ATATATATATATATATATATATATATATATAAGTATATATGTACATATCGATATATATATATATACCGATGTCCTTTCGTATATTATTTTGCTACTTCGATGACTCTAGTAGTCGTTACACGACAGCCAATAAACACATGACGGTAATTCGGAACATACGACGGCGCGGCCACCGGTTTTCTGAATCTAAATATTCATGGTCGTCCAACACGACTGTGTGCTCGTCTGAGCGCGCCGTGAATGGAGGAAAGTCGATCGTCTCTATAAACTGAAAGATTCACAACGCAATGTTCGCAGCGATTTTTCATTCTTCTTCTCTCCTCTTTGTTTACTCCAACTAGCAAATCGATACTTTGCTCAAATCTCCATTTTTTTCTCTTAAATCTTAACGAAAGTTTAATTGAACGCTCAATTCACAGTTTCACATTTTTTTACTGTAAACATGGATTGCTCGTTATTTTCATCAAGATTAATTATAATGTGAGTTTACATATGTATAACTCATTTTTAATTTTCTTAATTAATTTATTTTAAATCCAATTTTTTATTTCACATTTCTCTCTTACTTTCTCAGACTGTTGTTTCAAAAAATATTTTTTTTATTACACATCAATAAATATAATGTAAGTATATAATTTAATAAAATATTTTTTTTGTCATCAAAAAATTCGGAACGTTTCTGTTTTATTACAGAAATCATCATCGCAACATGACACGTGCAAAGAGAAAAAACCAATGCTGGCGTCTTTCTGTAAATCCATTGTAAAAAATAAGAAAAATGGAATCCTGACACAGTCCACAGTTGTATAATCAATCTTTCATAACTTTTTAGTTTTTTATATAAAAAATTCGTGCAAAAAAAAAAAAAAACAAAAACACGCCAACATGTGCAACGCTTCTTCTATAATTTAATCTAGCTGTTACATTCAATTATTGTGTGTGTAAAAAACATATAAATGGTCGAGAAAGAGAGAGAAAATTTCATTTTTTTTTTTTTTCATTCATCAACGGGAATGTTATTCGTATTTCCGTTCTGTAATCGGACAAGTCGCACGACACTGCGCGTGCGGCAGGGTCGTATCCTTTTCAAAGGATCCGCGAATATTAAACGAGCTGCCGTGAACCGTGAATCAAAGCGGACTCCTTTGAGAACTTCTGCGTGCGATTCGGCGCGCTCCAGAGAATTTCGCGTCTCTTACGGGAGAACAGCAATGGCAAAACAAGCGCCAGTCGGCTGGGAATCAGCGAAATTGACGCATAAGCAAATAAAACTGTATATGAAGTCCCGGTTCAACAAATCGAAGATATTTCTTTGGAAAACGTATCAGCAAAATCTCGTTAGAACCGAAAATACAAACAATCGCTGGTTTTCATTTAGATTAGATTAGATTGAAAGAATAAAAATAAAAAAAATAAAAAAAAAAATGCAATATAATTAGTTTTTTGTTATTGGAATTTTGTTTTTAGTTACGCGAGGAAGAAGCTTTGTAAGTTACAATTTGATTACGTCTAGAGTGTCTTTTTGCGTTGTAACGAGATAATGTGGATGCATTCAAATTATCGGAAACAGATTATTCCTGCAAACTGAGACTGTGGAGAATTACATCGGATTTCATGTTCAACTTATCATCAAAATATGTCACTGTGCTGTCGTTGACTTCCTCTTTTCCTCCCTTACATAAAAACATATTATATTTGTATATATGTTTTGTTTGTCATATATAATATGTCATATATATATATATATATATATAT